CCAACACCCAACTCCAGTGGTCACGAGCACGGGCCGGGACTGGGCCGCACTCGAGCGGGATTCAGAGCCCATAGGCGTCCAAAAACCATGTCCAATTTGATTTCTTAACTGACCATCTCAACGCCTCTCTTAGTGTTGGAAGGTTTAAACGCTCCAGTCCCCCTCATGTTCATGTCTGATTTTGGTATTTGCCTAAATATGATTTCAGACGTTGGCGCTGAAATTCCAAAGTGAAAACTGACATCTTAGAAAGACACAAGTCTTTTCGTGTACTCGATTGCAGATCGACGTCCGAAATTCAGAATCGACTAACGAATCGGACAAAGAGCTGAGCAGTCGGAGATGGCTATTCGTCAATCTCCTTGAGCGTAAAAAAGGGGATGACGCCAGTAGAAGGGAAGTTTGCTTAGTCATCACTACCCTCTCCAACTCTCCCCGCTCACCAGGTGCTCAATTTACGCGGAAATAATCCACATGTTCTATCACTGCAAAGGGATTTTTTCTCACTCGGAATCCGGAAATCCGAAGCCTTATCTGCATGAACATGGGAAGGTTCCCTGAAGCGGGGCCAGTCTTCACAACTTCAACCACCAGGTCGCCATCCAACCCATGTTGCTGTTCCTTGTATCTTCGCTGTTTTATTGTTTTAGCCTGGTATTGGGTTTTCCTTCCTTCCATGCTCTATCATGGTCTCTGGCAAGGCAAGACGTTCAGTTTCCAGACTTGTATGAAGCATCAGTTCTTGAGTTACAACACGGTTTGGATAGTGGGCTCTTCAGTAGCGTTGACCTTGTGAAGGTGTGTATACCTCTCAACCGCTTTCTTCTACTCTCCTGATCTGAATCTTACGTCGTGTACAGGCTTACTTCGCTAGAATCGATGAAGTCAACTTGAAAGGTCCAGCCCTGCGTGCTGTCATAGAAATCAATCCATCCGCTTTGGAACAAGCTGCAGCCTTGGATAAGGAGCGCAAGATTTCTGGGAAACGTAGTCTCTTGCACGGGATTCCCGTTCTTGTCAAGGTAATTCATTCCGTCGTTTTCAACTGTGTGCGGAAATAACTCATATAATTATGGGACAGGATAACATCGCAACTATTGCATCTGAAGGTATACAAACGTCAATTTTTTTGCCCTTTCCGTTGATGAAAATGTAATTCTTCTAGGAATGAACACGACTGCGGGGTCCTTTAGTCTCCTGGGATCCGTAGTTCCCGAGGATGCAGGTGTTATCAAAAGATTGCGCAAGGCTGGTGCTATCATCTTAGGTGCTTCACACACCTTACCTCCCGTTCAATTAAACTCATTATTCCTCATTTTCTATTTTTAGGAAAAGCGAACCTATCAGAGTTCGCCCATTTCCGAGGCAATCTTGCTTCGGGTTGGTCGGGTCGTGGGGGTCAAAACACAAACGCATACTTCCCTAACGCTGATCCCTGTGGATCGTCATCAGGGTCTGGAGTAGGTGCTTCGATTGGCCTTGCTGCCGTGACGTTGGGTTCAGAAACGGATGGGAGCATAACTTGCCCTGCGAGTAATAATAATGCGGCGGGGATTAAACCTACTGTTGGGCTAACGTCCCGTGCGGGAGGTGCGTTCTCTATTTGTCTCGCCTTGGAAAGTTTATGAGTACTGAAGTCTGCCTCCTCGTCAGTTGTGCCGATTTCGGCCAATCAGGACACTATAGGTCCTATAACTCGCTCTGTTTTCGACGCTGCTGTCGTGCTCTCTGTAATCGCTGGCAAAGACCCGAACGACAACTTTACTCTGGCACAACCTAATGTCGTTCCTGACTACACGAAAGCCCTTGATCCGAATGCTCTGAAAGGGAAACGGATTGGCGTTCCGCGTAAAGTTTTCCTCGATGATGGCGTCAATGAACCCGCTGTGGTAGCTGCATTTGAAGAAGCTTTGAAGACAATTCGAGCCTTGGGAGCTACTGTTGTCGATCCTGCCGACATTCCATCGGCCGAAGAGATCGTAGCTTCTAATAATGAAACAGTGGTTTTGGACACTGACTTCAAAGTACGTTACGTTTGTTCTATTTTCCTGGCCACTAAGACACATTCATCCCTATAGGTTCAACTGAATGAATACTTCCAAGACCTACGGAAGAATCCTTCCGGCGTGAGGAGTCTGGCGGACTTGATTGCGTTCGACAATGCAAATCCGAACCTAGAGGAACCTGTCAATTTTACGAGCCAATCCGAGTATGCACATCTTACTAGTGACCAAACAACTTCTCCTGGACTAACAGTCGCGTTAGACTAATAGCCGCTCAACAAACAAACGGTTTTAACGCTACTTACCAACAAGCCCTTGCTTTTGACCACGAACTTGGAAGGACTCGCGGGATAGATGCTGCTTTGAAAGCGCACAAGCTCGATGCGTTGGTCCTGCCCGCAACGGGTTTTACGACTGTCCCAGCAGGTGAGTTGCCACGCTTCTCGTCCGTCCTAACTTGTTTTTCTGATACACTGTTCAATGCCTGTAGCTATCGCCGGATATCCTATCGTCACCGGTTTGTAGATTCTTCTTGTCCCTCTTCGTGAAAACACGACTAATTGGCTCTAAACCAGTTCCTCTTGGATTCTTCCCGAACAACGTGACGATTGGGAGCGCAGGACCGCTTACTGTGTACCCAGCTCCTGGTGTTCCTTTCGGACTTTCATTCTTTGCTTCGGCGTTCTCTGAGTTTGAGCTTGTTGGACTCGCGTTTGCATATGAGCAAAAGACGAAGACAAGGTTGGCGAGGAAGGCATTTCCGGCTGCGATTCCAAAGACTCAGTTGAGAGATGTTATTGGGAGAGGCTGAGGATTGAAGTGATCGATTTTTGTGGCGCTTGTGGACGTCGTGTCTGATTTACTATATCGCGTGTCGAAGGAACGTTTTTATTGGGTCTTGAAGCTTGATTCGAACTTGAAGTACACGACGAGTTTTCTTATGTGTACTTGGAGTAAAGCGGGGGGTAGACCCCTGGCCCATGCTAGCCAGGCCAATATTTGAATATCATGTGATCCGACGCGTCGTACTTAAAAAAAATCAGACCCGTACTTGTACTTAGTAAGCGTCTCTCAGCGTCCACAACTATCTGTACCTACGCGCCTCTGCCGATCTCCTCAAACTAGCGGGCTCCCAACATGAATGGAAATCACGGTCAGACGAACGCGACATCACCCAATACAACTGCCGCAACCATCGGGCTGGAGCTTCCTTTTCGCGACACTGTCACCAAATATCACAGGTCGATTATTGCACAGTTACTGTTTGGCGCTGAGGTTCAGTCAAAATATCTTGCTGATGAAGTGGAAAGGCTCAGAAGAGCCATCATGATCTTGGAGGGGAGACGACAAGAGGTGGAAGAAAAGATCAAGGCGTACAAGTCTTTGATGGCTCCGGTTCATAGGATGCCCCCAGAGGTCATGATGGAGATATTCAAATTCGTCTGCGCGACGAAATCTCTTGTTCGGTGGCCAGTCAGGCCTGACTTATTAATGCCTCCTACTTTCAAACTCTCAATGGTTTGCGGTCGTTGGAGGGAAATCACAATCGCTTCTCCATTCTTGTGGTCCTCCATTAATGTCGACCGCGAATGTGGACGCTTCAATGTAAATATGTATCGCGCTGCTAAAATCTTCCTGGAACGTTCAAAAAACCAAACCATCAAAGCACAGCTTCAATTACCCTCCCCACAGTCCCCAGACCCTCACATATTTGATCTTTTCCTTCAGGAGTCCATTCGCTGGCGTGAGGTATCGCTCTGTTTTCCTTACATTGCCTCCACCAGTATATCAGCACTTGGAGTACTTCGAGGGCATTTGCCAGTTTTAACAAAGCTCGAACTCACAGGCCTCGCTCCGTTATCACACGAGTCATTGACAACCCTGTTTGAACTGGCCCCTTCCCTACATTCCCTTTACCTCGGTATTAACTTCGTCTCAGCGAACTTGCGCTTTCCGTGGCAGCAGATCAGATCCATTCGACTGCGAGGTGGACTCAACGAGATGTGGCAGATCCTCAAATTGTGTCACAACGTTGAGGAGATCCGTCTCGAAAGCATCGCAGCCGATGAATTCGACGCCAGACATCATCTTGACCTACCCGAAACTAGGTCGTGGTCTATCACAGTGACGAGTGCCACGCACATGGTCGATGTTCTCCGCCAGATAACCTGTCCTAATCTGGGGAGCCTAGAAATATGGAACCACTCCTGTGGCAATTGGACCACTTGGAACTTACCTTGGGATGCTTCAGCCATCGCAGGTTTGCTTTCTCAACCTACTTGTCGCCTTACTTCTCTTCGACTCGGCTACATTCCGCTCACAGACGTAGAGGTGATATCCCTCCTTCGGCATGTACCCACCCTTCAATCACTCTACATTTCGGAGAAACTTCCTCCTAGTCATGCAACTCCACCTGAGTTTGATAGGTTGAAAGGACTGAGACCTAGAAACATGATAGTCACTGCTTCTTTCCTTCGCCAGCTCTCCTTTCCTCACCAGTGACGGGCGGAGGACCTGCCGATGTCGGGGATCTTTCTTCCCAATCTCAAACACCTGGACCTCAGCATTCACGCTGAGGGTTTGGACCGACGAGCTCTGGCCAACGCTGTAATCAGTCGATGCCCTGACGTAACTCGAGGGAGAACCCATGCCAAAGTCGGTCTTGATACCCCCTCTTGCCTGTGCTCATTCGCTGTGACTGTGAGAGCTCAAGTTGGGGAAGCTGCCTTTGAGGAACTCGAAGCGTTGCGGTGCTTTGAAGTAGCTGGTTTGGATGTGTCTATTCGGGTCGAATACTACATTGAACCGGAAGAAGAGGACAGTGAGGAGGACGATGATTCGATGTCAGAGTGAATTTTTTTTTGAAATAACGGCTTCCTTGAAACTTTCTTTTTACTTTTGGCACATATTTTAATCACACAAAATGTTCCGCCAGTATACTAGTACTATTTTGAATTCGTTTAGAGTCATCGGCGTCAGTAAAACCGTAAGGGAAGGGGGCGTTTAGCGCAGTGGTAGCGCGTATGCTTTGCAAATTGCAAACCCCGAGGGGTTGAATGTGTATAAGGTCCAGGGTTCAATCCCCTGAACGTCCATTTGTTTTGTTGTTCGAGTCTTTTACCTACCTTCCCCTTTGTATATTGATCGACTTTCTGAACTGGCTGCAGTGTCAGTATAGATATAGCTTTTTTGGCCCTCACAAAACGTATGAACAGTCAAAGCAAATTTTCATTCCTTAATCATCCGTTCATATGAATGTGTACATACGTCCAAAGTACTCCAAGTTCGAGATAGAAAACAGCAGAAAGCAAAAGGACACAAGCTCAAAGGGGAAAACCAAAAAGAAGCAGAAGAAGCAAAAAAAAAAACGAAAGCAAAAAGACGTTCCAAACTCTTCGTATCCATGAAGCACGTAAACACATTACATATGTAGATAGGTATATTGTAATTGTTTAAAAATTGGTAGAGTTCACATGTCATCATCTAATGAACGACGGTGCCAGTAGGAAGTGGTTTTTCCGAGAGGACCTTGTTAGGATCATTGTCCTTTTGATGTGGGTAGTCCATGAAATAGATCTGTTTTAAATAGATCGAGAAAAGATGGGGAGGGTAAGAGGGTATTTCAAAAAGGTGGGTTCTACGCGGCCATTAAAATGCCAATGAATGCGAACAGACCTAACCACGACCACGACCCTTTTGGCAGGGACGACGAGGCGGAGTTCCTAGCGACGAGGGTGGAGCCGATTTCTGCGACACCGTACGTTGGGGCACCCAGCTATAGAGAGACCCGAGAAACGTCAGAAAGAAGGAAATAGACGCCCAAGGTAAATATGGCGTACGTGAGTCGCGAAAAGGAATGGGAACACGGAGCCGTCGATGACACGGAGATTATCTATTAAAGATCGAAACCGGTCAGGAGCGGTAAATTTACGCGATTGAAAGAAAAACGTACTTGTGCCGTGGACTTTCAAAGAAGTGTCAACAACACCTCCTTGGTTCTGTGAGAGCATAGCAGAAGTGCATGCAGGATGGAATTGCGTCCATGTGCTTCCAGCAATCCAGCTATCCCAGTCTGCGTCTGATTGGACGTTCAGTCCGGGAGAAGTTTCATTGAGGAGAGTGGTGTTGAAAGGTGCAGTTGAGCCCAGTCTGCGGGCAACTTTGAGGCCTTCTCGAAGCATGACGACGTCTAGAGGGAAAAAACACGGTCAGTTCTGGAGAAGCCCCAGAAAGTAAGAATAGAGCAGGTCAAGAAATGCAAACCAGCAGGGTGAGCCAAATAATTAGGCTGAATAAGAGGAGGATCGAAGATTGATGAGGAGTTGATATAGACGCGACCTTGACTGTATAGCAAATCGAACAAATTAAAAGAGATAGAGGTCGATGTATAAAGATAGAACGTACCTCAAAGGATGTTGAAGGGCAACACCGATGGAAATCGAACCATCTCCCATCACATTGAGCAAAAGTTCTACCAAACCCACTTCACTGGGTATGACTTTCTGAGAGATGACATCGTATCTCGCTTTGTAGCCTTCGACGATGGTAGAGTCTTGCGAAGTCAGGGCCGTCGATAACGATCCGGTGTATTGGTCTGCGACCTGCTTTTGGAATGTGGCGGCGTCACCAAACAGATATGTTGCATTTAAGTACGCGACACCGGTGTTGACTGTAGCGAGGAATTCTGTTGATCTCTGATGAGGTAGAATGTCAGGTATGAAAAAAGGGTGACAACGGCATAAACTCACCAGACCGCTTTTGTACAGAGAACCAGCGGTATCAGCCGTTGTATTCCACGCAACTGAGTTGGTCTAGGAGAAAAAGGAATAATGTCAGCACTGCACCAGAATTTATCAATTTAATGAAAGACGTACGATATGATCCTGGAGATGCTCCCCTACGCCCGGAAGATCAACTTGTACCTTAACGCCGGCTGCACTCAACACGTCCTTGGGGCCAACACCACTGACAAGCAGCAGATGTGGAGTCCCGATAGCACCTGACGAAAGTATAACTTCTCGGTTCGCTCTTACTGTTTGTCGAGCCGCGTCCCTCCCCCGAGCGTACTCAACGCCAGTAGCAGTTGAATCGCTATCAGAGCGGAAGAGTACCTTGGTAACGGTCGAATTGGTGATGATATTAAGATTGGCGCGCTGCGGTAGTGAGTCAATATAACCGGTTCGGGAGTATGAACGGGTCCAGTTGGACGGGTTGATGAAAGTGCCTGTCGTCCACGCTCCCCAGTTCTTCCCAGACATGGCGTCGGGGTTGTTCCAGATCCCTATATTGCTCATGGCGTCGAGGAATTGACCGTTTTGTTGGAACGCACTGAATGAAAACAACGAAAATCAGATACCATCAGGGCTGTGTTGAGACGCGACAACTCACAAGGGAATATAGCTAGTATGAATCGGACCGCTGGTTCCATGACTGCTGGCGTCGAACAGAATTTTGGAGATGTTTCTCACGTCGTCCGATGGAGGACTGAACGACTCGGACTTTTTCATTCCCGCTAAGAGCGAGTTCCAACCCCACGTATTCCCATCACCCGCCAGCTGACCCCACGCGTCGACTTCGAGCTGAGAAGGTCGCACCATGTACATGGCGTTCATGGCAGAAGTACCTCCCAAGACTTTCCCTCGAGGCCACCAGAAAGGACGATTGTTGGTGAAGTTGGATGTGAGGGTCATGTAATTCCAATCGTTGGCCGTACCAGTGATAGAGTTGAGATACGTTGAAGAAGGAGTGTCTAGAACGCAGCATTTAAAACAAAGAAACGCCAGAAAAAATAAAAGGTATTGACTACGCACCAATCCTCGACCGCAGTGCATCACCATTGTCACCAGCCTCAATAACCAACACGTTCACTCCTGAGTTCTCCGTCAGACGGGATGCCAGAGCCAACCCCGACTGGCCTCCACCAACGATGACATAATCATAAGAATCTGCAACGGTTCCATCCACAGCAAACCGACGTTCCAGTCCTCTTGGAGTAGCGTAGCATGTATTGAGCTGAATGGAGGCGAGCACTAATGCTAGTGCCGTCGTTGAGAGCCACATGGAGGGAATTAGGAAAGGAGAACGGAAAGAAATAAGGTAGGAGCGGGGGTGTGGACAGAAACAATCGTCATGGCTGTCATACGCCTTATATACTCGTGGGTTCCATTCACAAGAAGTCCAGTCCTTGGCATCATTGATCTAATATGGCTACCCTGTCGACGTTTCCCTCGCCGCACGGCGTCGTTAACGACTATGCTTGGACTGAAAAAGGATAAATCCATGCAGAATTCACGGCTCGCATTCTGAGGTGAATCCATAAATGGTGAATGTACGAGTAAGAACATTTTTTTATTTTGCCCGGATAGCCTCAAACGTAAAAACTCTCACAAGCGGAGCCGACCACGACTGCGGAAATGAAAAGCTCAGCTCACCTACTGATTTTTTCGTCGAGGTATTTTGCATCGGAATACCTTCATTACTATCAGCCCCTGGTTTTTCAACATCCTGAATGGATGAATTATATAGAAAGGGGCGGCCGCTCTAGCCTCTGATCACTCTTTTTTTGCATCCTTGATACTACCTCTCCTCCTCTTCAAGCTCCCTCCTGACAGCTGAAATCCAATTGCAATGGATGAGGGGCCCAAATCTGACCGCCACTTGGGTTCAGAAATACATGAAATCTTTCTACCCAACAGGATACGTTCTTGAACGCGTTCTCGACTTCTCATGGACATCTACTATTATTACAACAGGAGAACCCCTTGCCATAATTATAGTAGCGCGAGCGCTGTTCAAGCACTCGCCACCACCGAGAATTTTCCCAAACCTGGCCCCTTTCTGGTTCCCCCGAGTTCTGAATGGAAGGTTGGTGACCTTGGAAAAACTTGCAAGGGAAAGGCAAGTGTTTATGTATAGTTGGCATTCTTTCTAGGTTAAATACGTTGCTCATCAGCTGAGGATGGACCAGATGGTATCCACGTACGGTGCGTGATACATACCGACCAGGGAAAAAATCTCTCAAAGTTTGAGTAAGCGCTTGTGTCCGCTTTCTGTGGTCCGCGGGCAGAACTTTGCTCGGAAAAAAAAATAAATCCGTTGGATCATCGAGTAAACGAGCCAGGTTTTTTGGAGTTTCATCGTTTCATCCTTCGAAATCCTGATTGTAGACAGGGATCCTAAATCTAAAAAAAGACACGTCAAAAATTGTTCAGAAGTGATAGGTGGAATGGCTTGAGAATCTCGACGAAAATATTTCCCAGGGAATGCGGGGAATTCCAGGGGATCTGTCTACATAAGTACCCCCAATGCCGGCGCGCGGGTCGCGAGAAATTAAAATCAACGTACTCCATAAAGTCTGCCAGTGCATACAATCGATGAGGCCTGGGCCGCGGTCAACTGTTCAGATGGCTTAGAAGTGGGAGTTCCATTACATTACACCATCCGGGTGTAAATCAACCACTCTAAAGTCAGGCTAGGAGAGCTCCAAAGATGAGATTTCTTGGAACCGTGAGTTCGGGAAGTGAAAGTTCAACGTTCAACAGTAGCCCGCTGCCCGCAAAACGAAATCTGCATCTTCTGAGTTGAGATATCACCTTGACGACTAAAGTGTACCATGCTTCGTCCTCTTGGCAAATGTGGAGTACCTCGGCTGAGCACTGAGCGCTGGACGTTGAACCTTGGCACTGAACACTCACTGGACCCACTCATGATTGAGCCGACAGCTTACGAATGTGGCTAACGTTCCAACGGGTTCTGAAGAAAAAGTGTCACGGTCCCGTACGTCTTCATTCTCGCCATTCTCCTCCTTCGTGACAGTACCCCGACATTCAACTTTTCAGCGAACCATGAAACAGTAGACCAGATCAGCTTCCCTGGAGCAGCTGAGAGATTCAAAGAGTACCATCGAGCGAGTGCGTTCTGTCCGCGTTCACAGAAGTCACCGCAAAGGAGCGCAGAATAAGTAAGAACGGAAAATCATCGTTCGGGAGTCGGGCCGACCATCGTGGACGTTTAAATTGCTACTTGAGCTTGCCGGCTCAAACCCTGAACAAAGCCAGCTACTCTGTCAGATGTAGATGACACGGCCGTCGGGCAT